CAGGTGCAGATATGATCCTCTGACTAACGTGACCATAGACCCTATGCCAGAGTTTCTTGGATCTATAGTGGAGGTAGCGTTTCCTTCCTTCCCAGCAGGGTGCATGGAGGGATAAATGTGTTTTAATTCTGAAGGGAGAAATCAACAGTGTAAACCACAGATTTAAACAAACCACTATGCTGTACTCTGTCACCTCTGGTTGTTGCTACATGCTGCGGCTGCTTTCTTTGCACTTCTTTTGTGCTAATTTTGTTTTTAAACACATACAAGATAAGTGTGTTAATACATATACTACATTCCTTCTAAATAAACCCTACCTTTTATTTTAGAAATGCATTTAAAACATACAGCAATTAAGCTGACATCAATGAGGTTAGCAAGGAGAGTCAAACATCAGTGTTGGGAAGGAACAAAGAACCTCACTATTACAGTTTTCTTACAACTTTTGTGGTATCTTTCTTTATTTTTTTTAAAATTCAAGTTCCTGCTGGGGCATCAAGTGAAAACTCTTCAAAAGAAGCTTTTTTAACTTCATGAGAGCAAAGGAAAACTTGAAAACATAAACTCTGCATCTTCTGTAACTGCAAAGCAAATAAAAGGATTCACAATTCAGATTTAATTTGAGCCACTTTTACTGCAATAATACAAGTGCAACATTTTTCGAAGGCCTGACATTTATTTGTTTATTTAGGCTGCTGACAAGATGGTCTCAGTTCGTTATTCCTGCATAAACTCAGGCCTTGGAAATCCAGGTGAATAGTTTTCTCCTGAAATCATAAGAAATCCATGTTTAAAAAAATCTAATAATTCATGAATATTTAAATAATATTCCTTCTATTGTGGTAAATACAAAGAAATAATAAAATGAATACACTCATACTTGGTGTTTGTCCAGTTAAAAGAGGGATGGTGGTGAATACCAGATTAGTCATTCCTAACTTGGATGAGCCCTGATTGTGTCTGTATTAATATTTTTTCTATGCTAACCAACATGGGTTGTTGAGTTGTGGCCGTTTTGCTGCTCTATGTTTCTATTGACCCTCAGGAGAGCTGTTTTGGTGTTAGATGTTGCTACGCATTGAGTAACCATTTTTCCACTTTACCATAGGAATATGTGGCTTTAATTCTTCCTTGCATCAGCCACGGCCTCTTCAGTGAACTGATTCAACTCATTAATCCAGTGGAAAACTGTTCTCCTTTCTGGGGAAAAAAAAAAAAGAAAACAAAGAAAAAACTTATCCTTTGTGACTTTTATCCTGGAGCTGACCTTGCTCAGGGTTTAAAGATGCCAAGCATTGGTGTAAGACAGACAGAATGGAGCAAAGAGACGGGTAAAAGGAGGGACAGTGACCTCTTGTTTCCCATGGCAGTGAGCTGGTGCTTAAGCTCAGCCCAGCTGTCTTTAAAACTTCAGAATGAGTTTTCCTTTGACATGGTTTCTTAATATAAGGTTATTATATCCACAGCAACTGCAGTAAAGATAAGACTGCTAGCCCGGATTTACAATAGTGAAAATGGAAGCTGAATTTGACCCTCAGATTAGCATTTCCTGTAACTCTTAAAGCTCATTTTTTTATAGTAGTACTTTAGTTCTCTTTTGTTTCAAGTGTTTAGCTGTAATCATACCAGCGTTTCTGTAGCAAAATGTTTTAACTTTGGAGACAGTGATTTGAAGAGAGTAACATTGCTACTTAATTATATGGCAAGTGGCATTTAGTCAAACATTTTAGGTTATTACCAGCCCAATCTGAAGCTTTTAAAGAAGGAAAGGAAACAAGAATGTTGTTTGGTTCAATGATATATCTTGTTAAGGTTAGCTGGCCTCTTGCAGTGCCCTGATGACCCAACCTGGAACCATGTGAAGCGAGGAACTTCAGGGGCGTTTGACTTCAGCCAGAAGGGCATAGGACATTTTAATAAAAAAAAATCAGAATTGCTATTAAAGCTAACCTGGTATCTTCCTTCTGATAGTGAGGGAAGTTTTGGCTCATTAAATTACTGTCTTTTTGTCTCCTGTTTTAAGTGTGCGTAACCCTTCTTTTAGGAACAAGCTCCTGTTGGAGGGAACAGTTGACACATGCTTGCCCGATGTGATTGCTGTCACAGAGGTGCACATCAAAGGATGCATTTGTCTGTCCCGGCACTCTTCCATCACAGCCAGTGGCTTGAGACGACCTCCATCCAGCCATGGAGCCCTGTGGCTGACCACTGCATGGGGTCACCCCTCTACTCTGGGTCTGGGCATACCCAGTGCAGTCCAGGATCCATGTTGCCACAGCACCTTGGGCCAGTCCCACTATTGCTTTGGGCAAACAAGAAGCTTTTTTCCTTTTTGACCCAGACACTTAGGTATGTTAAAGCTGTTTTCTCTAGTGGGTTTGGGGGTCCTGCCCTGGGAAGTTGTGAATTTTCTGAAGCCAGGAGTTAGCAGTTGTATGGCAGAGTCCTTGAAGTAGTGGAGGGTTGGTATGGTTATGGTAGCTGTTATTTCTACTCTCAGTTCAGTACTACAAAGATGCAGTCTTGCATTTTAGAGTTTCTGAGCTTCAGAAAATAAGTTTTCATCATTAGCACTTCAAACATTATTCACTGCTCCATACTGCAAATGAGAAAGGAGAAAGTGTCTTAAAACGCATTTCCAAGAGCCAGGAAGTAAACAGTTATTGCTGGGCTGTCTGCTTGGAAAGTTGGCAGCCTTCAAATTGCTTACAGATTAAATTCTACTTAAGATAAAGCAAGAGCTAAGATTGGCTCGATGCTTGGTTTCAACAGATACCTCTTCTGAGAGAGCTGATGCTACTTCGCTTGGCTATGCTAAAATCAGTTTCTAATTGTAACACACATTTTGTTTTGAATAAATGTAATTAAAAAATAATACTGAATATATGTTTCAGAACAGAAGTGTCTATCCCCTGAACTGTGGATCAATGATGGTCTAAAAGAGTGCAAGATTATAACATGCAGAGCCAATGGCTCACATGGTGCTGTTTCTCCTTGTTTCAAGCTGCTAAATCCCATTGACAGGGAAGCTAGGAACACATTTTACGTATATGCAGTATTTTCACTCTGTGAGTGCAATTACTGTGGCCAACCCAAAAACTGCCTAAAACCATGAGTAAAGAAGGAAGTGGTCTTTGTCACTGTGCTGAGAGGGCGTTGGTCCACCAAGTGTTGTAGCAAGTGGCTCAGAGGCCTCAGAGAGCCTCTGAAGACTTTCCAAAACCCTCACTCTGAAGTATTTACAGTCGGCCAAGTGGGTCCTTGCTGGGGAGACCTTGGAAACTAAGAAGAAAATTGGCACTAGGGAAAAAAGCTCAAATCATAATCAAATCAATTAGTTATGCTGCAGTTGCTTGCTTACAGTCCTTTTCCCAGTTGGGCTCCTTCTTTGCAAGCTGTTATAAACTCAGAGGAGTTTTGTTACTATTTATAAGATAAATGGCTTTTATGCCATTTTGCTTTGCTTTTTTCGATATGCTGATGACAGAGTGTTTTTGATATCTGCACTTTTACAGAATACTTGAACCCATAGTATCCTAAACTATATGAGTCCTTCTACCTGACTCTTCCAGGCACCACAGCTCACTCTGGAGTTCTGCTTACAATTTTTGCTGAGTTTAGCTGTGGAGTTGAGTGGGTTACCACCCTCACAAGTCCAGTCTTTTCTGAGGCTGGAAGCTATCACCTGCATAGGAACAGTGGTATTTCAATTTAAACTACAGAACTCAAAGTAAGCTGAGGCACAGGGCGGCAATCACAAAATGGGCTTTCGACCTCCTGTTCTGCTGGTCTACCATGCCAGGAAAGGAGTGGATGTCAGAAAAGGGGCACAACAGAAGGCTGAGGACAGTAAAATTTCCAAATGCTGTGGTTATCCAAGAGGGAGCAAGAGCTCTTTGCCACTTCCTAAATTGCTTTCATGGGAGACTACTTGAATAATGCTACTTTTGGAATCTTGTCTTGTTCTACTTCTCCATTCCCTTTCCATGTTGGACATGTTATCTTTTTTTTCCCTTCATCTTGCTTTTCACACCTTCTATCTTTCAGTTGCTTTTCTCTTCTTATATCTTGTTTAGATGTTTTCTTTTTGAATTGCTCTTCCTGTCAGAAAAGAGAGAAATCAATATAAATGTATGTAAAATAAAGGACCTGTCACTGCCTTGATTCTGGAGACTGGAAAAATGTTTTCTAGTGACTACTTCTTACAGATGTTCTAGTACCTATTAATTACAGAGCACAGACTTAAAAGTTGAAGTGTGGAAGGCTGCAGGATGTACTTAGTTCTGTATGAGAATTTGTTTATGCATTTATAAAAATCTGCCAAAATCAAGACACGTGGCCATGGAGGCCCAGCAGTCCAAGGTAATAGGAAGAATGAGTAAAGGCAGAACTGATGCCAACAGCTGGTGGGCAGTGCTGTAGCTTTCCTCTGGTTTGGAAGGAAAGCTGGGAGTTTGAGAGTTAGTAGGCTCAAAACCAGGGAGTTTGGATGTGGAAATGTTAAAGATAGTCAATTTTCTTTCTCTAGGAAAGCTTGCTAATACCTCATATAGTTGTTTCGTTGTTGTTTTCTTTATCTCTGTTACTAATGAAAATAAGCTGGTTACTTTGCATAGAATGGCCAGTGTAAGTTTTGGAGCCCTCAATGCAGATGCCCACTTGGTCACCTTAAATGTTGCTTCAGTGCTTGGCTCTTTCTCTCAGTGAACTGGTAAGCCATTGCTTCTTTTTTTAAATAATTATTTTAAAATTTATTTCTGAGGCCACCATCTCTCAGTGGTGGACAGTTTGACTGCAGAAACTACAGCACTTACACATCACCTAATAAAGTCTGAAGAGTGCTCCAGGATTCAGTTGATAAGAGTGACTGTGTAAATGAAAGGCTGTGAATGGTGCGGCTGGCTGGTCAATCCCCAGCGCAGAGGCGCAGTGAAATGTGCTCTACGAGCAGTTCCGATCCTGAAATAACTGGGAAGGAAAGAACAGGAGCTCAGGGCTACCATTCGTCTCTGTGATTTACACTGCCCACAAGGATCTCTCGCAGCATTGGCTGTGGATTTTTCAGCTCATTGCCAATCCTCGTGCCATGGCTGAACTTGATACTGAGGTTGGGACTTTGTAATCCTATCCAGAGTGGTGCGTTTCTCCTGGTTCCCTCTCTGCAGCTCCCGCTTTTGTTTTTTTCCATTTGAACTAGAGGGGAAAACCGTATCAGCAGAATCAAACTTCACGCCTGTTCACATTCCCACACCTGGGAACCCAGAGTGTGAAATATCTGTCAGCCTTGTGTTGGGGGAAAATTTGTTTAAGGTTTTATACCTCTCCTATGGGGACTTTCTCCTCCTTGATCTGCATTAACCAGCCCTTGCAACCCAATCCTTTTGTCCTTCTTAAGAAGATAGTGTTTGTTCAGTATCTTCTGAACACAACTCTGCCTACATGGAGGTTTGGTAGATTTCACAAGAGTAAAAATGCTGGCTTTATCTTGGATTAATGCCAGCCCTCCAGTCCTGGAATTGCTGTAGTGCTGTACTGTGGGTGAGGGCATGGCCGGTATTTGAGATGCTTAGCAAGTAATTTCAGTTACTTAGGTTTATTTTGTGTACAAACCAAATGAACCGAGTTGGGAAGCATGCAGAGATAAGTGTACTGCCTCAAACACCTTGGTAACTTTCTTTGATTTCTTAGCCTAATTTCCCAGGCAGTCTTCTGCCAAAAAAGGAAGGCACATGCTCTTTTCCTTCCCTTGCTCATCTCCCCACTGGTCCCAGCTGTGTGGTCTTCTCCACCCCTTGCACCAGCCCTGGAATCCATCACTTTGCAGAAAGTAGCAGAAAAGCTCTCCAGGTTTGTTTGGTTTTGTTGGGTTAGTTCTCTGCTGCTTTCTCAAGTGTATTTAGCTAATGGAGAGGTTTGATGAAAACCAGAGTTGATCCAAAGAAAACAACAAGAGTTTGCCACTTGAATCAGGAAGGGAGAGAGGGAATTAAAAGGGGGAAGGATGCTCTGCTCCTTCCATATCTTGTGGAATCACAGCTTCAGCACTGGAGTTAACTGATTCTTGTTGATGCCTGCACTCATCTGGGAATTACTCACCAGTGACAAGCCATAAGTGCTATGTTGTGGATTTGCATGATGTGGACAGGACCAACCCTGTTTCAAATAATTTCTTTCTTCCCAAGAAGCTGTGCAAATATCTGGATATTTATGATGGTGACTTGTAGTGAGTGCTACGTAGGTCACTTGTGCCTGAGCTACTTTTTGCTGTCTGGAGACACTTTAGGGCCTGATGAGCAGTCAGTCTGCCATGAAGCAGTCTGTTTGCCATGAAGCAGTCTGTCTGCCATGAAGCTGTCTGTCTGTAGATGAATCACAGGAGGTAACAGCCACCACCTGAGTTATACAAACCATTCTCTTCACTTCAAAAGCCTGTCCCTGCTGTTGACTGATTTGTTGTGCCCTATTTGGGGTGTGAATTTCAGCCTGAATAAAAATATGTAAGGTGGTTCTCTCTAGGGATAAATCCTCAAGGCGTTTTTTGCTTTGTATCATTTGAGCAGTAGATTATATTTTTGCTTCTGCTTGCTTCCTGTCCCACATTTCTTTTTCATTTTAATTCCTTTTTTTTGCTCTATTTCATCTCTGAGCTTTGGATCTTCCTCTTTCTGGTAGTGTCTGTAGGAACAACTGGCAAAATCAGCAGCAAGGACTCACTCAGCAGGAACAACAGCTTTGCTGAGACGTAATAGGTTTGCTTCATTTATTTCCTTAAAGTAGGGCAATGTTCTCCCTCTGTGTTTTTTTTTTTTCATTCTCTCAGTTATTAAATGGAAAAACTAATTTAAAGTCATCTTCTCTTCAACAGAGGGTAGGAAGAAAATGAGCCAGCATTGGATTTCATGTGATAGGGCAAGCAAATGGCTTTCTGAAGTGTTGATTATACCTTAGGCTGCCTTTTAAAATACGTGTCCTCACAGAGCAGTTTATCCTTAGCTATGTTTGTCTCTGGGAAAGTAACTTGATAACTACATACAAATAGTGCTGCTGGTGTTACCTTTTGGCCTTATAGTAATTTTTGTTGTCGACTTGTCCCTTTGTTCTCCTGATGGCGGCAATCTTCTCCAGCAGCAAACGGTTTTCGTTTTCAATGATAGAAAATTGGTCTTCCTTCAACTTTGTGTACAGAAGAGATAAAGAAATGCTTTTGTTTTTGCAAGGCCAGAGCAAGCAGCAGTGCTGTACCATGGATACCTAACCGGTTGCTCACAGTTGCTGTCCCTTTCTCTCCACAGAGTGTGGCAGACACTGATAAGGTAAACCTCTGTGTGAGTGCTGAGAGAACCCTTTGCTTCACCATTTTAATGGTGATGCAGTGAGAGAAAACCCTTTGCAATGCTGTGATTTTCGACCCTGCAACCACAAGATCAGCCTGCGTGATTTGCAAACGCATTTGATCCATGTGAGCAGAATTTCTCTAAATGTTTGTCAATGTATTTTCCTGGATCACCATCATCTTTTGTGTCTCTAACAGCCTTCACAAACTCTTGTCAAAACCTAGGATTTTTGTGATGGACACTGTACAAACACATGATAGGACTCAGCCAGGCTCCTCTGAAGTCAATGGGAGTATTTCTGTTATTCTGTGGTGGACTTTGGGTCAGATGGTAATTTCCCAATTGACTTCAGTGAGATTTGGATTAGGTCCAATTGCAGGCCATTTTTGTCCTGAAGGGGTTGCAGGCTGGTGTAAGAAGAGAAGCAACAACTGGGTGTAACAAACGCGTGGAGAGATGTATGAGGCAGTATAAGCTAGTTCTGTTCATTGTTAACTTGATTTTAAGCCTCTTTAAATTTGGTTTTAAAATGGAAGATATTAATAATCTCCATCTCTGAAGTTAACTGTGTCAAAAGTGGGATGAAAACTGAAGCACCCCAGTGGAGGAGGGAAAATCCCTTTAGATATCCTGGAGCATTGTCTAATTTGTAAAAAATGTTACCAGATTGTTTTTTGAAGAACACCAATCCATGCTAAAGGTGTATTTGTGGGGACTGGGAAGGAATAGGGGAGAAGTGAAAAGAAAAACTTATTTTCAAGGTTATCTGAGTCCTAAGAATGCCTTCTCCAGCAGGGATGAGTTGGAGGTAACCAGAGAAAGTCTGGATGGAAGGAAGCAGGGAAAGCGTGCTTTTCATAGCTGGACTTCAACATCATTCTCAAAAGCCTCTCATAACAGAATCACTGAAGAAATAGTCTTGTTTTGAGCATGCTAATTCACTCTTCTTTTCTCCTACCTTTTTTTTTTTTTCCATATTTGATTCTCGGCACTCCAAAGCTATTGCATGTCCTGTATAAAATGAATAGGAAATCCTGCTCATCCAGCTCTGGTAGTTTTGGGTGGCTAATGTTGGCGTAGCAACTTACTGTAGGAAATCTATCTGCCTTGTTTGCTGGGGTTTATAACCAAAGCAGGTTAGATGCTGGTCATGCTGTTGTACAGAGGTATCTAAAACTAATGGATCAGGCAATCCCATCAGGCTCCAAATAACCCTGAGAATTATTGTAAAGAATCATAGGATCAATTGGTTGGAAAAGACCTTTAAGATCATTGAGTCAAACCATAACCTGTCCACTACTAAACCGTGTCTCTAAGCACCTCATTTACTCGTCTTTTAAATACCTCCTGAGATGGTTACTCCACCACTTCCATGGGCAGCCCATTCCAATGCCTGATAACACTTTCAATGAAGAATTTTTTCCTAATATCGAACCTAAACCTCCCTTGAGAACTGGTTCATAGAAGACTGCAACATTAGAGGAGTTTTTTTCCTTTCTTTCTGTAGCAGTTTGGAAAGGAGGAGGATGAAAGAGAGACTAGAACCATAGTCTCACTGCCAGGTATCATCAGGACCTGTAGTTCAAAGGAACATGCCTAAGGGTAGTGGGTTCCTGTTGGTGGTTATTTGTTAACCTCTGTGTGTGTGTGGGGGGGGTGGTTATGCAGTGTTTCATTTTCAAAGGAACTTTATTGGTGTTATTTTTACAGTAATAGGAAAAAATTAATGACAGCAATTGAATCCATGTCCTAATATAGCATATGATTTTATGCATGGAGGATAAATGAATTGTTTTGCTAGTGAAATGATTTTAAGGTGCCTAGGGATTATTATGTGGCACGGTGAGATGATAAACAATTTTAAGGAAATTAATTCTCAAGTCCTTACATGGGCAATACTCCTATTGCCCGAGGGACATGATGTTGGAAATTAAGTCTTTGACAGGGTTTAGCTGCACGCATTTTCTACTGTGCTCACGTCTGGGTTTTTTAAATTGCTGTTGTTTCCTTTTAGTGAGCAGAGTTAATTAGGTAACAATTTATTTTCCACTCTCATCTTTTAATAAAAAATTGCCTCTTGGGAGCAGTAAGATTTTGAGGGATAACTGCCAGTCAAGGCTACCCATTGTTATTTCTTGTGCTTTGAATATGTTAACATCCTATTATTCACTTCATTGCTCTGTGTGTATCTTGATGATTGTGCTATTCTTGTTATTTGTGATTATTTTTTTCATGGTTGTGCAGAAGTACCTTTTAGGAGGCTATTTGAACACTTTAACACTTGTTAATCTGAAGCGCTCTGATTTCATCAATAATCATAAAGATAAAATAAGTTATTTAATGCGGCTGGGAGTGTGCTATGCATGGATCCTGATAGTCCTGTCACAACAATCACTGCACAGAGGGGGGAAAAAAGGCCCTGAAATTGTGACCATCTGGTAGTCTCTTTGTTTTCTGAGGGGAGACGTGAAGGTAAGCATGCTAGTGCTCAGCAAAATATCCAATACAATACCTTCAGCTTCCCTAACTTCAGCTTTAGGAGGAGGCCATATGATGCAGGGGCACTTGTGTCCACCACTGGTTTTGCTGCCTGAACCTGCAACAGAAATGAAATGTTTATCCATTTTTTGCTGGAAATACCCTTGCGTATCATTACAGGAAATCTTTTCATTCTTGTGTTCTGTTTTGTTAGCCAGCAGTAACACTATTAAACACATGATTCATTATATCAGCAAAGCCAGACTTGCCCAGAAGAAGAGTAGTGGGACATGAAAATATTAAAGGCAGTTGTTTGAAAGTCTGGTGGAGATGCAAAGTGTTCTTTATGTTGGAGAAATGTAAAAATACACACAGGCCGGTTACAGTGGTGTCAATGTTATGATACAGGAGAGACGGTCTAAAAGGAGGCAGGCAGTTTTTATTAGGCATCCAGCAGAAGTAAAAAGGCTAGAGTAAGAAAGCCCTAGGTACTCCTAAGCTGTCCCAGGTCTTCCAGAGGGATGCACATTCGAAATGCTGCCAGAAAGAGGCAAGCAATATTGGAAAAGACTTCTCATGTCAAAAGCATTCCCAGGCCTCTTCTTATTAGCACTTCAGAATGATCATCAAAAGCAAACTGTCGATCTAATTATTCTAATGGAGTTGGTAGTTCAGTGGCACAATAATGTTTATCTCCATCCTGACCTAAATAACCATGCAATAAGGAAGCAGAATAATCTGTGAGCTGTCTTGGATGGAAGAAACCGCATGGAAGAAACACTGGTAATGGGGAGTGGAGCAAGACAGGATTTAGAGGGGAGACTGCTCTCTCTCAGGCTGGGGTTCTGCAGGGAGCGAGACTGGATCAGTTACAACAAAGATACCATGATTTTTATCATGAACTAACTGGACAAAGATCCTCCATCTGTCATACCTGAACTGTTCCATCTCAGGCAGGCTCAGGCCATTTATCAGGGATATAAAAAGAGGAGAGAAATGCTTGCTATTTTTAAAAAAGAGGCTGGCAAGTAAGAGCAGCAGGCACAGCACCAATGCACACCCCACGACCAAAGCACTGCCTGAGTCCAGCAGAAGTTGTCCATCTCTCTTCCTGTAGCAGCTTTGTGATGAGCTGAGGACCAGGCTTGAACCCCTGATGACAGACCTGTCATACGTACTACCTGCACAGGTTCCTTGCTTTTATAACATGGCAAATAATTTACAGCATTGACTGGGACAATGTTGAACAGTTTCCGACTTTGACTGAAATTCACTTGAACTGTTTGGTTTCTTACAAAAACATTCAGCTGCTTTTTTGTGGCAGTCGTCTCTGAGGAGATGGGATCCCAGAAGGGGCCAACTGCTCTCAGCTCCAGCTGATTTCAGGGGGAGATAGGGGCCTTCATCTTAATCCTTTCTAGATCCCATCATGTTAAGTAGCTGATTTGTACTGGATAGCAGAATTAAACTTGGTAAATCTCTGAGCATTTTGGTGGTTTTGGCTTCTGCTGCTGCTATCTCCTCTGTTTCTTCAGGTGCTTTATCACATTATTAAATTATTTTTAAAGTAACTTTAAGACGATATCCAATTTGTAAAACAGGATTGTTATTGTATCAGTCAATAGAAATCACAGGTGTAAGGAATAAAATGTGATATTTACGCAAACTCTTATTTTAATTTATAGATATGCAAACTGTTTCAAACTTGAAACAACAAAAAGTGGTTTTAGAATCCAGATTTCTGTGGGATTCATATCGACATAATTTCATTTTCTGGAAAGTTTTATGATTAATTTCTGTCTTGTCCTTATATGCACAACTATAAAAGGTAAAACCTGGCATTTTTTAAGCCTGTCCACATCTCTGTTGTGGCACTTTCCAAAGCCATGGTGGTTTTGGAGCCATTTTACATTTAATTCTATGCAGAATGTTGCAGAGAAGAGATGTAACTCTGTTTTTTTCCCCCCATTTCTTTCCTCTATTTAGAAAAGAACAAAATTATTCAGACTGGAAGCATGTCCTCTTGTATATGTAAAAACATACTGGCATTTTTTGTATCCTCGCATTGTGGAGAAAATAACTTATCCCTAAACTTTGCCCTCTTTTTAGTGGTCTTCTCCAACAAGTGTACTTTTTTTTAATGTTGTCTTTTTTCCTTCCTTGCTCCCTATTTCCCCCCTTTCTCTCTTGCTCTGATTCTTTTTTTTTGTGAGCTCCTTCATTGCACAGCCTGCACATCACCAAGCAGAGGCCCTTTGAGCCTTTTCTCAGAACAATCTCTGTCTCTCTGGGCAGAGCAAAAGCCTATGGCCCAGGAGGCTGTGTCATTCAGGACAACCTCTCGAATTGCTCTGCTGCCTTCAGGTATCCCAGTCTGCAGGTACCGCTGCTCTGGTAGCTGGCATTCACCGCAGCAAGCCTAAATCCATGCCAGTGGAAGGCATGGTGAAACTTCCAGGCAACTAGTGTGGGAATTTAGGAGCGCACCAGCATGACAATGTAAAGGTGCTTGAAAAGGCCACTCTTTGGCCATTGGAGACCTTGTTAGACACTGCTTGATCTGGGTGTGAACCCTCTAGTAAGGAAGAAAAATCTGTAACTTTTAAGCCAACTTTTTACCAACATGATAGTTACTCTTTCTCTTTGCTTGTACTCAGAAATTAACACTCATGTTTAATCCAAGAGTAGTTGCGTCATGGGAAATGTTTTCTTCTCTATAAATACATTTCTTCGCTATACATCATGATGATATCCAATCTCTATTCTTGGCCTCTGAATGCCTTAGCACATATATGAAGTGCTCTGTACGCTGAACAAAGGGGAGTTGTGCATGCACAGCGGATGCCGAGGGTGTTTCAGCTGCACCAATATCAGTTCCCTGTTTAAAAGGGCCACTGCTTAAATAGCCGTGCTTATATACAGTAGTAAGCCGCTTGAGGTTAATTCACACAGAAGGAAAATTATTTATTTATTTCAATATTGGCAGTTTGGTTAGAAAAATATGTCAAATTCAATTATCTACCTCATCTTTAACTTTTTTCCACCTGCAAGTCAAATTATGGGAACAATGGAAGGAAGGAAGGAAGGAAGGAAGGAAGGAAGGAAGGAAGGAAGGAAGATATTTTTATACAGCTAATGAAACAGACCCAGTCTGGAAATAATGAAGAACTATTTCTTTGTATTAAACCTAATTATATTGTGATACAATCTTCCTAAGGTAGCAATACAGATGAATCATCACTGGTGGTATTCACTACTTAGGGATTTTCAAGAGGGAACAGTCCTGCACTATTACTGATTTGGAGCAGATGACTGACTGAAACTTTTTCACTTCTAAATTTGGTGAACATCATTATGATAACTCTAAATGGACACAAAAGCTGTACCTGTATTTGCTGGATATTCTTGAAACATGTTCCTTGTACCTTATTGCAGATCAGTAGCTTTAATAACAGTATTAAGAACTAGTAGGGAGATGCTGTAGCCTTTTTGGGTAAGCTTTTTCATGAAGGCCTCTACTCTTTTTCAGACAGTTTTACCTACCCTTTTCCTGTGCTCTTCATACTTTGCTTTGTTCCATTTTTGCTGAAGATATTTGTTGCCACATGGTAAAATTGGCTGGTAGGTTTGATGCATCTTGCACAGAGTAAAGCATCTCTGACTGTGGGCTTTAAAAACAAACAAGAAAAAAAAGTATGAGTAATACCAGTCTGAGCCTTTCCTAAAGCAAAGCCCTGGAGACTTGTGGTATGTTTGCAGCTGGTCACGTGGGAGTTGTCATGGCATCGCTGTGCAGAAAAAGCATGAATAGCTGGTGGTAGCATTTCAAACAATACATTTAACGAATAGCAAGCAAGGACTGAATGTTATAGCAATGCATTCCAAAGAGTATTTTATTCATATATAAAATAGATTACCAATTATACTTCCCTAGCCAGACCTACCTCCTGCTGATGAAGGAAAGACAGTGGTGTAAGCTATTAATAATACTTCACACACTACTGTAAATATGCAAAGGACTGTATAGTAGCCTATATTTGCTGAGCCTTGAATTGAGCGGCATGTCTCAGTAATGGTCTGTGCAAACCCACAGTGGGAGGTGTCATCTTTTATACTGCAGTAACTTGTTTAAAACTTTTTTTCATTGATAAGTAGGCGCTTTTCAAAAGCCACTGCAAATGTGTTCATAGGGAAATAATACTGTTTTTTACCAGCCTTTTCACCTTTCTTTATCTGCATGCCATCTGATTGCTAATGAGTTACAGAAAGCTCAAGCAGACTTGGGGAATTCAGTTATTTACCAAGCTGACCACTGGTTCTCAAGCAGGGCCATCTGCTTTTGTTCTTCTATGGCCACATTCAGCAGGGAGCTGAATGGGGGAAGGCTCAATTTTCTCAGGCCTACCCAAAAATGGAAAAGGTGCTTCTTCTCATTCAAGCTCACTTGGCCTCCTCCAAAACTGGGCTTGAGCTGACACAGTTCATGCCATGTTTCCATCCTTGTGGTGTGGAGCACCCTGAAGCTGAGTCCGGCAAGCTGCCAAAGGACTTGGCTTTTGGCTCATGCTTTTTCTTGGTAAGGCCCATAGCTGCTAAGAAGAAAACCTGAATTACATCTTGCAGCTGTCGTGGGTCTTTTAATACAGATGGATAATGCACATCATAGAAAAGCACTGGGAAGTAAGGAGGGAGCCTATGACGGACAATCCCAAACGTCACTAACTAAAATGAGTCTGTACGAGGATGAACCAAGGGATATTTCATTTTAGCCAAAGGCTGTTTGTGCAGGCTGCTCTTGCACAGCATCTCGTGTGGGTGCAGGGGAACAGCAACACATCTATCACACAACTACCCAACACAGAATCAGGGCTGGTGCCCTCTTCAATCTGTATCTTGATTAACTTTTGCATTTCAGTAGCAAATTTTTATTATAGTTGGTGCGAAATGGTGTTTAAACAACAGCAGCAGACATAAAATGAAAACCTTGATACATGCTAATTTAGAGCTGTAAAGCAAACACCCTTATTTTCATACAAATTATGGAAGAAATTGAAGAGTATGTTTTTCCAGCTGCTTGAGTTCTTATTATTTTCCTGTTAATGTAACAGGAAGATGTGGTGAATGTCAGTAAAAATAATAAAGAGTACAGAGTTGAAACACATTTCTTCAAATACTTATAAAATCTAGCTGTGCACATAATACAGTTATGTTTTGCTCTTGAACAAGTAGAAATGTTAGACTCTCATTTGCTTGACAGGGTCTTGGCCTTGGTCTTTTAAATGCTACATGTGTAATGATCTGTTATGGACAGAACTGATGGGCACCATTATCGAAGAAATATTTTCATTGATTTCGATGAAGCCCTTCAAGTATAAGGAGAACTTAGCCTCTTACATTGATGGCACCGTGGCCCACCAAGAAATTGAAATCACTTGGAATCATTTCCCAGCTGCCTCTGAATTAAAGTTTGCAACAGAAAGGAAGTGGCTTTAAACATCCTCTGCGGTTGCCTGTGCTCTCTCTGCCCTCAGAAGCTGTGGGCCATATTTGCATTCATTCATGCTGTGGTCTAACCCAGCAGGCAGCTGAGCACCACGCAGCCGTTCACTCACTCCCCCCGCAGTGGGATGGGGAAAAGAATCTCCATTGGACTTTTGCACTGGCCATATGGGGCAGTTAAAGGGTGAGCAAGTCTTGTTGATCACTCCTTGGCTCTCCAGTCGATAAATCAGCTTACAGATGGAAATCAGGGAGTCTCAGCTGGTGCGATATTGCCACCAGGGCACCTCTGTGGTAGCAATCAGCACACATTGTTTGCTTGATGGCATTAGGGTGCACTGTGCACAAGTGTCCTCTAGAGCATTATACTCCTGTGAGTCTGGCATGCCAGGCCAACAAATCCACACAGTCCAAGAATCCCGGTTGTCCCCTCCCTCCACCTGGCTGGATGCAGAGCCCTTCCAGTCCTGGTCATAGTATTCATTGCTCACTTCCTGTAAATATGAATCAAAAGTCCCTTTATTAATATCAGAAGTAAGATCAGCCCTTTTACTCTATCTGGGGATTGGTCCACTGGAAACTGGAGCAGCAATTTTCCTGGAAGAACCCACTTTTGTGATTGTTTATCCTTGTAACTCATGTACCCATTGCACTAGAGTAGAGGCAGATTTTCCACCCCACTTCCTCATGCTCTCTCAATGGTCATGCAGGTAAAACCACAGGGTGGCCCTTGGTATGTGCCTTCTATATTCTCTTTCTTGAGCAGAGGAATGCTTACTCCTAAAAGGTGAAATACTGGTCCATACAGATGCAGAGTCAGATATATTCTCTTTGAATTGCTGGAACTTCTGGGACAGTTTCTTCACAGCCGAGTTTCAGGGAGGAAGAGAGATTTTTTGTGTTGCTGGAGTTAGCCAGCCAATTCAGCCACTGGTTGTCTCTCTCCGTCTCCCCAGGTCATTTACTGCCAATGAGTTCACATACAACGATAGTGCGCTCTGTACAAACTTCTTCCACATGGGTTGTGTGCACCTGACTTCATCTGAATCTTTGGATAACTGCTTGTTGTCCAGGTCATCATCAATAACCTCCAGCATGGCTAAATCCTGCAGGTACTGGATACCTCTCTTCCTGGTGGTCCACTTGCCTGGGTGACATACAACATCTTCCCTGGAGGAATACCTTTCCTTCATGCCTGACCAGAGTTGCCTCCAGAGGCTGAGGGCTTGTGCCCCTTTTCCAATTGCTTTGTCAATGTCCCCTTCACTAGAAAGGGACTCCAGCTGCTTGATTTCCCCACCCTCTAATTCCAGGCTACTAGCCCTGTTACCCCAGCATTGGAGCAACCAGGTGACAATGTGCTAGCCTAGATGAAATCTTTTGGTACATCTCGCAGCTCACTCGGGGATAGGGATCGAGTGGTTACCACCTTGTTTATGAGTTCTGCCTCTTTCTCCTCCCCTTTTTGTGGTGGCCCTGCCTCATCCACTTCTTCCTCCGTCCCCTTCCTAGTAGGAGTTTCTTCCCTTACTAAATGAGCTGACTTTCACATCCAGTATTTCTTCTTGGGTATAGGAGTGGCTAATACTGGCATGGGTTGGTTCTCTGGTTCAGATGCAGTACCTGTTGCTAGGGTTGGAGTAGCTGGAGTGCCTGTTGTTTTGCCATCAGATCCAGAGACCTTCTCTTCTCCTTGAGGGAACTGAATAGTGTTGAACAGGGCTTGGTAGGCTTGGGCCAGGCCCTGGCATGTTGCAGTGCTTTGTGTCCCTCTGGAATTGCCAGGGTGACAACATACTTTTCTCCAAATATTTTACTAGTTCTTCAGGATTCTGCACTTGTTCAAGAGTGAGGTTCTAAATCATCATAGGTGCGCACTGTCCCAGGTATTTGCCCATGTGTCCCACACACCCTGCCACTCATAACTATCCAGCCTTGTGGCAGATCTCTGGGTGGATTCTTAAATAGCAGTTTAACCTTAAACAAGACCTGAAACACATTCAGGAGACATAGCAATATGAACATGCTGATTTAGACATCCCAAGGATATTCAAAATTCGTAAGACGTCTTGTAACTAGCCTGGAGGAGAAGAGGAAGGTGAAGGAACGGAGGAAAGTGTTCCCCCTTGTCTTCCCCATAGATTGTGTCTCCAAAGAGAAAAGGTAAAGAGGGTAATTATTAATAGTTTCCGAGAGATGGTTCCCAAAGTATGGAGATAACTACAATGCTGAGTACAAATACTAGCTTAGTCTCACAGCCAGTAATTTTATCATATCATAAGCCAGTGTTACACAATACAGCAAACCTTACAGATAACCTTAATCCAGCCCCCAGAGGTGATAAATAGCACAACAGGGAACATATACAGCAAGTATAGTGCTGTGTAACACAACTTTCAGAGCAAATAAATCAACATCGTGACCAGTGGCTATTAATATAATGAATGCTTGTAATAAATTTGTTTTAACATGTTCTGGTTAGAGCTGTTGTTATCTCAACCCTCCATGCCCCACATTGGGCATTAAGAAGTATTGTCATGGTTTAACCCAGTAGGCAGCTAAACACCACACAGCCACTCGCTCACTCCTGCCTCAGTGGGTTGGGTTGAGAATTGGAAAAATTTAAGATAAATATCTTTATCTTGAGATAAAGATAGTTTAATAGGACAGTAAAAAAAAGGGAAAGTAATGATAATTATAAAAGAATATACAAAACAAGTGATGCACAATGCAATTGCTCACCAGGTGCTGAACAAGTTCCAGGCAGTCCCCAAGCAGCTGCCCCACCCTCCAGCCACCTCGCCCCCAGTTTAATTGTTCAGCACATTCAGCATGATGTCGTATGGTGTGGAATATCTCTTTGGCCAGTTTGAGTCAGCTGTCCTGGCTGTGTCCCCTCCCAGCTTCCTGTGCACCTACAACCTCCTCACTGGCAGGGTAGCATGAGAAGCTGAAAAGTCCTTGACATAGTGTAAGCACTGCTCAGCAGCCACTAAAACATCAGTGCATTATCAACATCATTTTTATCCTAAATCCAAAACAGAGTATTATACCAGCTGCTATGAAGAAAGTGAACTGTATCCCAGCCAAAACCAGAAGAATTCTAAACTGGGTTTTGGGTGGGGTTTTGGTGGTGG